TACATTGTAAAAGCTGTATTGTTTAACATTGACTCTAATGAGATAACCAGAAGAAAGTTGTAGAGCAGATCAGTTTTCTGATCATGTCTGTAGAAGGATGTCAAGGCCATTTGTAAGCGAAACTCAACCGTTGATCAAGGAATGAAGGTGGTGCTGAGCTCCCTTCTGGTTAGGCTATTAATTTGCTGTCTCTCTCTATCTTTACGTAATTTACCATATGAGAAATTTGAAACGACGCTGTTATAACCTTCGCCTGTTTTTTTATTCTAGAATACAAATAGGTGATCAAATAATTGAAGTTGATGATAATTCACTTGTTGGTGTAACACATACATATGCTACAAATGTACTTAAAGCAACATCAGGTTTAGTTCGGTAAGTGTTTCTTCTATATTATTTAAGCATGTTGTTATGTTCTGTTCGATAATTTTTGTATTTGAAAATTAAGATTTGTAATTGGTCGTGAAAAAGATGTTGAAAATTCTGAAATTCTTCGTCTTATTCAACAATCATTACAAATGGATCAAGAACGTAGTGAAATATCAAGAGCATTGCAACATCATCATGATGTATATAATGATAGACATTTAAATGATGATGGTTTTTCAAATTTAGAATTAAATGATAATGTTGATGATGATAAACTTGATGACAATACAATAAAAACAAATCATCATCATGAATTAGCTAAAGCACATGAAAAAAATTATGAAGTATTTTGATAATTAAAAAATTGAAATTTTTATTTTTATTTTGTTAAAATTATAAATATAATTTTTTACATATTTTTATTTAGCAAATATGGTCCATGACGGAAAAACAATCTAATGAAGAATCTCATAAATTATATGAATTTGAAATACTTAAACAACGTTATGAATCATTAGAAAAAACTTTAGCAAATGTTGAAAAAGAAAAAGAATATTATCAAGTTAGTTTATATTCTTTTTTTATTTTATATATTAAATTTTTATTTTAAGCAAATCTATGAACAAACAAAAAAAGATTTCGAACATATTGAAGAAAAATATTTAAAAGCTAAAAAATTAATTAAAGAATTGCAAGATCGGTATGTAAAAACAAACAAAAAATGCATTTTTTAATGGATAATCTTTTTATTCTTATTTATCTTTTAAAATAAAAGACTCAACTTATGTACGTAATTAGGTGAAGGTTAGAACAATAAAGTCATATATAATTTTTGTTGCTTTTTGTGTTTGATATAAAGCAAAAATAAAATAAATTTTTTTGCAGATAGGAAAGGATATTTTTTTTAAGAGTTATATCGGAGAAAGGATTTATTAATTGAATGTATTTTTTTTTTAGTGAAACCGAATTACGAGAACAACAAAGTCAACAAGCTGAAAAAACTGAACAACAACAAAAACGAATTTTGGAATTAATAAAAAAAGTTTGTAATTTTTTTGCAAATATTTATTTTGAATAAGAAAACTTGATTTCAGATTGAAGAACTCGAAAAAGCTATGACTGCTAATTCAGTGTCAAATTCTGAGCGAGTCATAGATAATGTACCACTTTTAACACGTAATACAAAATTACCGAGTACAAGTACTGAATGTGTTATAATGCGTCCACCCGATATACCTGAACGTATACCGATTCGATCGCGTACAAGTTCCGGTCAACATTTATTTATTCCTGAACGTCCCCCAAGTCGAAATACATCTGGAACATCATCAGTTCGAATACCTTCAACCTCATTAGAAAAAATCTCAAATAATACTAATGCTAATAATAATATTAATAATTATACAAGTAATAAAGTGAACAATCAACTTGATTTTGAAGTCGATCGTAGTCCACTACTTAATCATAGTATACAAATGGATAAAAGTCAAATTGCTAAAGCACGTCCTAGAAATTTACCATCAAAACGTTTATCGAATCCATTACTTGATGAAGCTTCGAATCATCAAAATGATGATTTGGAAATTAAAAGTTCAAATTCAAAAATTTCATCGACAGAACAACAAACTACAAGTATGATTACTAATAAAATTTTTTGTATTATACTGTAAAGTCGATGAAACATTCAAAAGAAATTCCTTGCTTCATTTTGTAACCAACACCATAGATTTATTCAAATCTCTATGCTATAAACAAGTACAAAACGATTGAGCTCATCTTTTTCTTATGAAGACATTTCGTAGTTTAAATGAAAACCTAGAAAAATGCATGGCCTCAGGTCTTCGCGAGTTATGTTCTTTTCTTTTTTGTTATTTTTTAATATATAACGCAGGATATTAGGAGAAACGCTGTATTAAGTAGTTTCCATCTGACATTTCCCCCAAACAACATATGTCACGGTAATTATTATGTCCTGGAAGTTTCATCTTAAATAAATCCTTTTGCTCTCGGATAAGACGTCTACACAAAAAACATTAGTTGCTCGCAAAAAATCATCTAAACTACGAGTCATGTGTATGAGTTAAATATAAGCTCAAAAGAGACTGTATCTTTAGGGAAGACTGACGAATTTTTTTTTCCATGAGGTGAGGCTCAATCGAAGTTTAGTTGTTATCTTAAGAAAAATTTTTACTAATCATAAAACGTAACGGAGTTTAGATAATAAACTGTTTTGAAACTATTTAGTTGTGTGAATGAGGATGAGGATGTTTTACTTGTTGCTCTTTCTGTAAAGTACTGAAGAATCCATGTAGCGTGTCGTTTCGATAATATCTATAGATTATAATCTTAAACATGGACATGTATATAATACTGAAATAGAGTAGATTTTGCCAGATCAAATATATATTAACATTAAATGATTTTTCGCGTACAAAAAATGTTATCACAATTATCTACCATGACAGTATATTCATAATGTCGAATAAATCCTTGAAATACAAGCGCTAAAAATTCAGATGACTGCACAAAATAACCCTTTTTGAACTATATTTATTCTTATGAAGTTTTGCCTATTAGAACAATGTTTCACTCAATAACATGTTGTCAATGATAATATCACAAAAGATAAAATAAATGCTCAAATGCAGATAGTTTTTGCGTTATGAGTACATTATTCGAGTACCGGTTTAATTTACAATCTACTCTGTTTATAAAAGAAAGAGATTGGATAACTATATAAGAACTCTCAATTTCGAAACTAGAATAAGATTCATCTAACCTCCAATGCGACCAAACTTTAGAACCGTAATTCATGTAAGAATTGAACTTTACCAGCCTACAAATTTGATCCCTCATGTCTTTAGGATTTCGTATGAAACGAGAAATCTAACGAATAAATTTTCTTGTTAAATTCTCATTAAGTTTAATATGATCTAAGACAATTTTTTCTGTATTTAGAATCGTCAATAAACCATAAAAATAATAACATTATAACTGATGAGGTAAAAAAACAATTGATTGCCAATTTGAGTATTTTATTTATTATTTTTCATTTTTGAAGTTTGTTGAAGTGAAAGATTGGACATCCGACCAATGTATTCAATGGTTAACAGCTCAAGATATGACATCATTTATTCCAATATTTCTTAGTCGAAATATTGATGGTGAAAAACTTTTATTACTTGATAGTACAAAAATGAAGGTAGAGAAAAAAAATCATGATCGAATTTTATTTTTAGTTATTGATTTATAGGCCATGGGTATAAAATCAAGTAAAGATCGTGATCATTTAAAAACGAAATTGAAAGAACTTAAACATGCTGATTTGGATCGAATTCGTGAACGACTTTTAGCACAACAACCAACATCATTTCAACATTCAGTTCATAGTGGTAATCGATTACGTTCATCAAGTATGACGAAAATAAAAGAACGACGATTATTTGGTGGTAGTGGTGGAAAATAAAATAAAACACAACGACAAAGAAGAAAGTTACAAATTTTTTTTTGTTTCTTCTCCCTACTGTGAATGAATAAATATCTTCTATTGACAGTTTTGATTATCCGTCCTATGTCGCTTCTGTGAACAGTAAAAAAAAATATTCTCACTCATTAACTGAATGCTGCTGGTCAGCATTATGACATTCCTCATTTCGAAAAATAATATACAATGAAAAAAAAAAGAATTATATAGAATTAGACGTTTTTGTTTTGTTTGTGAAGTCGACCTTTTCTTTTCTTTTTCTCATATTAAGTTTTTGTGATGTTAACTGTTTTGAAAAACCAGGATGAAGATGTATCTCATTTGTGTGCTCTTCTTGTATAGAATTGTCCTCCCTCTTCTTTTTTTTTCTTTCTTCTATTTCGGTTTATGTGTTCGAACGATAATCATATTTCAAAATTTTGTTTTCGTTTTTTTTTTTTTTTTTCTTCTCGGCAATTATTACTATTATTACTTATTACTATTAATTACTACTACTGTTTGTTGTTAGACGTGTGGTTGAAATTTCGTTTTCTTTTTTTCTTTTGTTATTATTCTCTATTATATGAAATTGAAAAAAGAGAGTTTATGTAATAAAAAGGATTTTGTAATAATGAATCATCATACAAAAAAGTTTTGACGTGGCACATTTAGGTATTTTCATGTCTTATTTTAAATGATTAGTTTGTTATTCATATTGATAAAAAATGGTTGATATACAATCCTCGAGAATTTCTTCAAGATGTACGCATAATTCTGATGTTGAAAATCAAATTGAAAAACTTTGTTCAAAAGTTAAACAACTTAAATATACAACAGTAGAAATTCGTGATGAAATTAAACATCAAAATGCTGATTTAACGGTTTGCATTGAATAATATACTTCATATTAATAAGATGAAATTTGTTTTTATTTTACTTTTTTATTCTTTAGGAAGATCACGGAATTATGGATCTTACGAGTAATCTAATTGGTCAAACACGTAGCCGTGTGACACGCCTGTCGAAATCTGATTGGAAAATGTATTCGTATTTAATACTTTTTGCTCTATTCATTTTTCTTATAATTTATTCTTTTATTAAATAATAATTCGAATAAATAGGACTATTTACATAATAATAAAAGAAAAAAATGACAGATTCTTTTTTTTTAACGTGGAGGAAACACATTTCTATCAAAATCACCAATAAAATTTCCTGGTGGATAATACATAGCTACAGCAAAATTCATTGATGTACCTTGTGCTTGTGCAAAACCAACTTCTTGTGAACCTTTCCATACAACTTGTGTAAAATGACCCGTTCCAGGTTGATATGAAGGATTATGATAATCATATTTAGTAGATTCATTATACCATGATTCTGTCATTTCTTTACCTAAATTTAAAAAAAAAAAAGTATACTTGAAAGAAGAAAAAGAATAATATAGAAAAGAAAGACCTGTAATTGGCCATGATTGAGAACGAAGATTTTCACCAACATTTACATTTCGATATTTTGTTTTACTATGTATAAGTGTTCCTGTTGATGCTAAGTGATTAGCTAAGATAAAATTTAAGATGAATAACATATTTGCAACAAATATTTATTTTTTATTTACCCCATGTTTGAGCTAATTTTGACAGATCATCATTCAAATGTAAAGGTTCAACACCATGACGTCGTCTTAATTCATTATGTAGTTGTAATGCTTCCTGTAAAAATTCATTATTACTTTGAGCAACATTCGAATGTTTAGAAGTCGATATTTCTGTAGCTGATGATGATGAAGATGCTGGTCTTGGTGATTGTATATTTCGATGTTTATGCTGTTCTAATTGCGGAAAATTAGTTGGATTTATCAGTGGACGAAATTCAAATCGATCTAAATCAGGTACATCATTACGATTGGAACGTAAATCTCTCATAAACTAATGTTAAATATGGAAAAATGATAATAACAATAACATATGTTACTAAAAGGTAAAACTCACCTTGACCGCATCATCATCATACATGTCGATCGTTTCAGTATGTGTTTTTCCATCGGGACCTGTCACTGTTCTTGTTGCCTTATAATGAGCATGACCACTAGTTTTATGTGTTGACGATGAGTTATGAGTACTACTCATTGTTTTCTCTTGAGTTGTTATATAAAATGATCAAAAAAAATTTCTCTTATCTTTTTATAAATACGTCAAGGCAATGTGACAGCTGTGTGTAAAAGACGTATATCATTTATTCTGAATGATAAAGAATACTATATATATATTTTTTCTTTCCCTAACGTTTGACTCTCTAATAGAATGAAATTCTGACAGAATAAAACGATTAATAGACAGAATGTTTTATAAACATTCAATTCTACAAAGCTGACTATGAATAAATCTATGAAAAAGAACAAGAACAAATGTCAGGTGCAACCATATTATTATAATAACTACGTAAAATAGAACATCCTTTGATTTTTGCTTTGCGATGGTTACTTTGTTTGCTCAATTTTCTTTTATTATTATCATTTAACAAGTGTTTGTGCATCATACAGCTTTTTGGAAGGAAAGAACTGAAAAAAAAAAAAACGAACAACGTCGCAGACTATAATAAAATATTCTATATTTAGAAGTTGTTTCAGTACGAAGTTACTTTTTTACGAACAACCTTCAGAAGAGAAAAAAATTTTATCAAAAACAAAAGAATTGTTTTTTTGGATACATAATACAAACAACTATTTTTGAGTGATTAATTTCTTTTTGTATATGTATTCATGCAAAAGATACTCTGACTCGTGAAGATTAACATTTTATCATTCAACTCGATCATATTCTGAGGAACCGATTATGAATAGGAAATTCTTTCTGACAATTTTTGTTTGCTAATATAGTTGACGAGACTAGTGTACACTGTAAAAACAAATATGTAGAATAATATACTCTATATCAAATTTGTATAAATCCATTTTTGGGTACATACTATTTTAATAAAATATTCAACGGTTATAAAGATAATAAATTCTTGAAGAGTGTACTATTTATTATCACAAGCACTTGAAAGATTTATTGATTCAATGAGAAGCACAGTATTTACGTAGTTCTTTCCGAGCTTTTTCTTTCCTTGTTTCTTTCTCGACGTGCACATTGAAAGTTCATATTTTTTTTTTGTTATGAGGGCCTCGAGAACGAAAAATCAGAAAGTAATCGTGAAAATGTGAGGATCAAATTTCATGATCGAATCAATACCATGTTCCACTTTCTCAAAGAAACTCACCTAAAAACACAAATTTTTTGTAGCTTTAGTTTTTTTGTCAGTTTTGAGATAATTAAAACAACGACAACAACAAGAGTTAGCCGCCACTTTCTGTTTCTTATTATCTGAGACACTTGTGAATACAGCTGATAATACATAATAACCAGATTGATGATTTCCTATTTGAAGCTATATCGTGTTAGATTACTTACGTAGAATAGTTTTGAGAACATTGATTGTCTTCAGTAGAAATTCTCATTCTTAACATCAGAGTTATATTAATCTAATATTAAAAATTGGTTCGATCATTGATCAAATATAGTTTAAGATCGTTCTTATCAATTAATTGAAGTTAAACTTATTTTCAACATTGAAAATAAAGTTGATTACATAAAGTGAGAGAGAAATTCTGACCATGAAATGGCGTATAAAATTCAATAGTAAGTATCAAACGACAGTTGCATTCTTAAGACAAAATATTCTTTTTTTGCAACATGATAGAAATTCTTTTGCATATAAAACCTCAGATGATTACTATTTCAATCGAAAAAGTTGTAACATATTGTATATTTCATAGTTTAGCATTGACACCAACGACTTCCACTTTACATTTAATTATTGTTTAGTTATAGAACGATTTCAAAAGCATGTAAAAAATAAAAAATCATCTATGTATGACAACATTTCTGTTTTTTTTTTTTCTTCTTTGTTTGTTTTATGTGTTGACAAATCATAGACAAGACAAGAAGAAGAAGACACAAAGAAAAAGAAAAAGAGACAAATACATATGCATCATAAATGATGTCTATTTCCATTTTTAAAAAAAAACAAAAAAAGAAAGTTTACTCATATCAGTGCAATTTCTTGTTTAACTGCAATAATTTTCGTTTTGTACATAAAATACCAGAAATGCACATAAATTCAAGTTTGTTTTTCCTTCTTGTTTTTTAGTAAATAGAAGAAAATGTGTGAGAATCAACACGCACACACACACACACACACCGAGAACGAAGAAAAATGTCGGAGAGAGAGAAAAAAAACAGCAACAAAAAGACTAAGCGAAACAATGATACAATAGAAAAAAAAAACAAATTATTTATTTGCTCAGACCATGCCGTTTAGCTTCAATTTCATAAACAAGTAAACGCCACATTTTAACTACAAATACTTCAGCTTCATCATCAAGTACAACACGTATATCAGCTAATATAGAATCTGCATTTTTCTTTGACATAACTGATGAACATATAAAATCTGTTAATGTTGGTTCTTCTTCACCAATATATTCAACGATTTTTTTTGTTACCCATGGTTTAATACGTTTTTCCATTAGATTCTTCAATATCAAAAAAACAAAAAAATTCTTCAAAGAAATAAACATAACATAAAAAACTACATACGGCATCAAGTAGGGACCAATCAAGTGCATATGTAAATAAATCTTCTTTTTTCGTTGGAATACTTTCAATTAATTTACGTACAGCTTGTCGTTTTTCTTCTTGGGATTGAGCTGAACTAGTATTAACATTAGATATTGGTGGAGTACGTTTTGTTGTCGATGATGATATTCGATTTGTTGGTTCATCTTTTATTTGTGGAACAGAATGTTTAGGTGAATTTTGTGCTATTGGAATTTGAGCAACTGTTGTTTGTTGATCGAGTATTGCAGAAAGTTTTGATTTTTTGTGTAATGAATTTGTACTATCATCATCTTGATCATCACGGAAAACCTACATTTGAAAAAGTATAGTTTTCTTTGCCAAAATCAAAAAAAAAAATTAACAAATACTTACTTCATTTACAGCTAATTTTCGTTTTGACGGTAATTTTGTACCTGTAATAGGTGCACCACCAAGTGCAGATGTATAACGAGGACTAAGTTTTACATCTAAATAAAAACAAATCAATAGAAAAATATATTTATGAAATGTAACAAACCATTTTGTGGAGATTCAACTTTAATTGTTGTTCGTGATGAATGACCTATACTATCAATACCTACAAATATATAAATAAATTTTTTAGTTAATTGAACTTATTAAGATTTAGTAGTTGCAAGAGACTCCACTACCGAGTAGAAAGTACATCAACGTTAATCCCATTTTGTCTCATAATTTGACTACAAATAGATCTCGGTAAAGTCTAAGTGCTAGCAGCAACTTGCAATTAATAGCTCTTCATGCAACAGATTTACGATGAAAACACTTTTTTGGTTTTTCCACTGTTTTAATGTATTAACTTTGATTTTCTTATGGAAAAAATAATAGTTCGCATATCTATTTGACATAACAGTTTTATTGGTAATAGAGATAGCCTTGAGCTGTCAATGAGAAATCTAACAACATATGATGTATTTTTCTATGTTGGGATATCTTCATCGAAAGGAACCTATGTGGAACTTCTAGTTCTTTCATATGAAGATCAATGAAATCATTCCGATTGATGTTCAACATGTTCTATTCGTAGTCAAACAATAAGGCTAAAGAAATCCAGTTTAGATAGTTTTTACTTTTTTTTTTGCAACTACTACAATTTTACTTACTAGAATTAGGTAAATCAGTTGATAAATTATTTGATATATCAATATTATCTTTTCGATTTTTTGATAAAGATTTTTTCGCTGTTTCTTCTTCGTTATCTGATTCTTCACTTGATTCATCAGTTGTTGTTCGTATAAGATCAGCTAAACGTTTACGTATATTTTCTTCTTCTTTTTCTAAACGTCGTTTTATTTCCAATTCAATATCATCAATATTATCTTGAAGTAATAATTTTTGACGTAATTCTTCTATTTCATCTTTTTCACGATGTCGATCACGATTATCAATTTCAATTTCATGTTCACGATCTTTTAAACGACGAGCTAATGCTGTACCTCTGTAGAAAAGAAAATTAAAAATTTTTGTTTTTATTTTTCTAATTCTATTATTTGTTATAAAGAAATTAAATGCACTAATCAGGTTAAAATCATCTTCAGATTTATTCAGAAGAACGAAAGTTAATATTTTGTTTGTTCATCACTTTAGTGCAGATTTGAACCCTTTACTTTATACTTTTTCCTATTCGACTAAATAATCAACATAAAAAATAAAAGCTTACTTGTAATAATTGGGATCATCTGTTTCATCATTGTAATCTTCAAGAAATGCTAATAAACGTTTTCCTTCTTTTTCTTCATCACGTAAACGAGCTAATTCACGTTGTTTTTCTGATTCATAATCAATTTCTTTTTTTCGTTCACGTTGTTCCCATGCTTTCAATCGCTAAAAAGAAAAAAAATATATATATATAGAATCGATATAATAAAACTAATCGAACTCAAATTAAATAAAAATCAATTGATTTCTAGAATTTTGAATTCAATTAGATAAATTTCGATTGATTTATTATTTGACTTACTTCTCGATAACGAAGTTCTTTTTCACGTAATCTTCTTTCTTGTCTTTTTCTTTCATAAGTTTCATCATCTTCTTCAATACTGGGACGATTTTTTGCTATAGGTGATTTTGTTCGTGAACGACGATTATATGATCGTAATGGTGGAATAGGTGACCGACGATCATAACGTAATGGTGGTGGACTACGTCGATCATTTGTACGACTACGTACTGAATTACTTGTATTATTTCTTGATGATGAACTACGATAACGATCATCATTAGGTGGTGAACGATCACGTCGACTTGTACTACTACTATGTTCACGTCTTGGCGATGAACGATCACGAGATGATGATGATAGTAGTGGTGGTGGTGGTGGTGGTGATGTATTACGTGAAGATGGTGATTTTGTAGATGATTTATTATTTCCACTGACTGCTTCTTCTGCTGCTGCACGTTTTTCACGTTGTAATGCACGTTCACGTTCATAGCGATCTTTACGTTCTTTTTCAGTATTACGCATTTTTGTATCTTCATCTTTAAAACGATCACGAAACATTTGTATTTCATTTGAAATTAAATTTCGTTTTCCTTCTTCATCATCAAGTAAAGCGGCTGGATCATTACGTCGTGTTGCTGAACTAGTTGAATTAGATGATGATGTATCTGGTATAGGATTAACTGTTGAATTTGAAGGTATTGGTATTGGAGGTATGGATGAATTCGGTTGTTGTGGTATTGTTGTTGTTTGAGTTTCACGAGCTGCCATTTCTTTTGCTTCTAATGCTCGTTGATTCATTTCACGTGCATATTCACGCATAACTGTTTCAATAGATTGTTTTATTGTAAAATCTTCACGACGTGTTTCTTCATCAATATAATCATCTTCTTCTTCTTCAATTTCACCTTCTTCACCGGACTTTTTCTTTACAAAAAATGAAACATAAACGATTAGAAAAAAAAAAAAACGAAAGTTTTCTTAAAATTTATTTACCTTTCCATCTGTATCCGTACTGTTCGGTTTTTTTTTATCATTTTCATCATCATCTTCATAAATGAATTTGAAAGCTGTTGTATCATTAGCAGCTTTTTTTGCTAATTCATGTCGTTTCTTTTTTTTATATTCATCAAGTAATGCTTTTGTTTTAGCATCGACTTTGACCTTAATAATACACGACAAGAAAAAAAAAAAAAAAAAAAAACAAAATTAATTTCATTGATCTTTTGAAAATTTAAAATGTAGTTTATAATTTAAAAAAAAAAGCATAATCATCTTTAAGTGTATATATCCTTTATACACATAGATTATCTCAATACAAGGCACCACTCACTCTTTTTTTATTATGTTATTTCTTTTCATAGAACGTCTTGCCTCTTAATTAAAAGTAGAACAAGATTGGAATTTGTAGACATTATACACTAAGAAAAATATAAAAAAAAAATGTTTCTTTACAAAAAGTAAATTGTCTTATCAATGATATTTTTTACAGAAGAATATATAAATTGTTACCAGGTGAATGACTGTCTGCTGTTCTGACTCGTGTTTGAAACCAATGAATCAAGTTAGGAAGACACCCAACCGAGTAGAAGTGTTTCGACTGAAAAAATTGGGAGTTCTAATACAATGCGCACGAGCACACTGTAAATCACTCACGTGTTTATGTATATAAATGTGTGTATAGACAACTTGTAATAATAAGCGCCTAATTTTTGATGATCGAAAGAAAAAATTAAAAATAAATAATCACTTACAACTAATTTTTTGTCTTGAATTTGCCAACCATTAAGTAAACGAATACAACGAAGTGTACCTTCAGGATTTTCATATTCACAAAATCCAAATGCTAAACAGAAAAATTTTCAGATGATAGAAAAGAATAATTATGTGTTTTTTACAATTACCTTGAAGTTTTCCATTGGCACCTTGAACTCGTTTCCAATTGAGAACACTACCACAATGCTATATAAATATAATAAAATCATATAGAAAAAACAAATAATAAAATTATTTACTTGAAGCATTCGTTTGATCATAACATCAGGTGCTCTTTCTGATATACTACCAACAAATACAGTTGTAGGTGCTTGGACACGATTTTTCTATAAGTAAATACAATTTATTAAAAAAATTGATCGAAAAATAATTAACTAACCTTTTCATTTTCTCCTGTTTTGTGAGTTCCATTCGTTGATGTCGGTATTCCAGGTGGTGGTGTAGTCATCTAAAGATAAAAAATTAAAACAAAAAATAAACCGATAAAGAATTTATTATTATTTTATAAGAAATCAAATTCTTACATTAGGTGGTATCATCATAGGAGTAACGGGAGGAAAAAATGGCATAGGAGTCATCATTGGAATATGTGGTGGAAATGACATTGTGATATTTTATATCTTCAAAATAAGAAAATTCAATTTTATTTGCTGTTGTTATAATTATAATGCCATTAAAGAAATTTTTCTCATAAGTAGACACATTCTAGAAGAACAAAAGAACAATTTCAAGCTTTTTTCTTACTGAACCAAACAACGCAATAACACATTCGATATATTTGTATATAAATGTATTTCGTCTTTAGTTATTTCACAAAACGACAAAGGAAGTCGATAGCAAGTTTGCTTGTTTAAAGAATAGATACAAAAAAAAAAAAACAGGAATATTAATAAAGACAACAACAATATTATTGTAAACGCTTGTATAAGACAATATATGACTAACCACAGAGCAACACAAAAAAAAAGAAGTAAGAAAAACAAAAAAGAAATAACCCGCCGGACTAGATAAGGAATAGATAGAAATAAATGTTTTTATGTTCATTTTTTATCTTAAATCTTATTTCAAATATGGATATTTTCGATAGACTTGCACAGCTGATAAGGCAACAACAACAAGTGCTGGAAATACTTTACCACTGATCATGAAACGAAATAACATTATAAGGCCAAGAAATGCTGCAATCTTAAAAGGATATAAAGTTAGAAAAAGAAAAAGAAATTTTTTTTTTTTTTTTTTAATATTTACAGCTAAATTAGCAACATTATTCTGACGAGTAGGATGCATTGCGTTGTAAATAGACCAGAGACCCAAAATAATACCTAAAATTCATTAAATTAGAAATAAATTTTCATATTTTATTTATTTAAATACCAAATAAAAGTGAGATCAAGCTATTACTACGGAAATATCCGAGTAAACCACCACTAACTAAAAAGTTTTAATAATAGTTATTTTTCGTAATATAACTATAAGAATATTTTCACATACTCAATGCAACACCATAGATCATACCAAATTGATCGGTTACCATTTTTATTGTGAATAAAAAGTAAGAATAGACAAAAATCAATAGAATAGTTCTGAAACAAGAAAATCTAGGTAATAATAGATTTTTCTTTTTTTACACAGATGAGTAGCATGAAAATAATTAAATGAAGAAGAAAAAACACATTTGATAGCCATTTTCATTCCATGCACATTATTGAGACACAAAGACGAAGTTTCTCCACATTATATTCATAATGCACTTATAACTATCGACACATTTATGCAGTCCATGAAAAAAAAAAGAATTTGATTGGACCAATAGAGAGGTACTTGTCTATAGGTAAACGCGGAGCAGCAGGAAAAATGAAAAATATCGTCTTTTTGCTACATGTGGCGTCCAATAAAGTCATGCAATCGTATCAAAAGTTCATAATTTTTGGCTTATAATAAATAAAAAATTGTTTATTTTTATATGCAATTTTATTTTGTAATTCTTGCAAAATATTTAGAATTTTTTTTGAAACTAAGCACTAACTAAATATTCTTTTGGAATTTTTAAGACATTCAGTATACGTTAAAAATGATCCAAACCAATTATACAACGATTAATATTTGATGATTTTTGTCCGTAGACTCATGATCTTATTACGTACTTGATACGGCAATGAATCGATTTGTCTTTGAAAACATATATAAGTTCAGCTTTCGGTTTCGAATTATTTCTAACCTAAGAAAGTTTTATTTTATTTCTACAATTAATTTTAAAAGTTTAATAAACTAAGAAACAAAAGCGTTTTTTTTTTCATATTGTATTTTCATCATGATTGATATTATTCGTGACTATCGGTATTAGTTGTATGTCTAATAACAAACAATCTTTGACTCAACCTCTGATATAAGTTTAGCAACGGTCAATATATATGCAACACTTCATGTAACGTGTCTTGTGAATTACATAATGGTTTATAACATGAAAAGTTTGAGCGTAGACTTGTCTTTGAATGTTAAATCAATTGTAAAGGCAATCAAAACTAGCTCATATAACTTTGAAGTCATACATTGAACTTCTAGAATGTATACTTCCAGATGTCTTCAATAAATAAAAAACCATTTGGATAAACGATTAATTTATTTAATTAAATTTAAACATCCGAAATCGATCGTAGAAGATCTTCGAAATTACAAGAGTGTTGAGCAACTGTTTCCATATTAAGATATAGTTCAAGGAAAGCTCTAAACAATAAAACGATATAGCGAGTTTATATGTCATGTCTTTTTGGCTCCTAGTATATGAGTCTAGTATACTGTCCTTGATGACCGCCATGAGTCATAGTTACTACTGCCATAAACGTGATCGTTGTCGACTTTTTAAGAAGTTCGTGATAGTGACTGTACTTTAATTATGAAGAAACACGGTTGTTAAAATAGTCACAAATTCTGTATTTAAATTAAGTTTTTGAATTTCAAATTATTTCTGTTGAATTGAAGCAGACTTTACTTTTACAGAAACTTATTTTAGATGCAGAAGTACGTAACACAATACGTCACATGTGCGCACACGTGATCTACTCAAATGTTAGTTTTTATTTAGTTTTGCTACACTTGAATGAAAATCTTAACTGATACAATGTATTTATTACAAAACGTATCCTTGTGATGCGCGTAAATATTGTTTTGTTTTTGATTTCAAACAAGGACAGATTTTTGATTGAAGTTAATAATAATAGCTCAGTATACTATTTGTGACATATGTCTTTGACGAATAAAAAATTTAAAAATACTTCTATCATCAGTCAAAAAATTATAGCATTTGATTGAAATAGAGTTAATATACGGGATGGGTCAAAAGTAAGAAAAAATCAAGTTCTTTTCAACTTGTTTTCTTTGTATATTGATAGTAACATCTCATATTTGGATTAAATATCTTATATGACAATATTCAGAGAAAGAGCTTATCAATGTAAATATCAATGAAATTCAAAATATTTGGTACATTTTTATGTACATAGGCCAATAGATAAAAACACAATATTACAAGAAAACTACGTACTTATATGACAGCTATATAAAAGTTAATGAGAGACATTCCGTATGTTTTTTGACAAAATTTTACAGTCAAAGGCTGATAATAGACTATTTCTCTGAGTATTATCATCTAGTATATATAATCCAAATATAAGATGTAACTATCAATCTCTAAAGAAACAATGTTGAAAAGAATTTGGTGTTTTTTTCTTTCGATTCACTTTGTATTACCTTAGAGAAAATTTTGAAAAGTTTTTAACGACAATGCTATGTAATTTCATTTTCTATTAATTGACATATTCTTCATTGTTTCATGTCAAGAGATTTCCTCCTACTTTTTATAAACTATATTGTGAAAAAGAATGATTAATCACATGTAGCATTCTGTTTTTTTTTTTTTTATTATGCAATAACTGCGATCCTAAGATCCTAACAGTACCAAAGATGAAAAGAGTGAGACATAAGAAGACAAAAAAAAAAAAAAAGAAAGGACACAGAAGGTACAAAAAGTAGGCAGGATTCTACAAGTAGAAATGCAGAAGAAAGAACAAGGACTAATGAGAAAACCACATCAAGGATGAATACAGAGTATAAAGTAGAGAACAAATAAAAGAAGAAACGGATACATANGTTCAAGAGTTATGATGTTTTGAAATTTCGAAACAATTGTTTCCACATGTGGCAAAAATTCAAAAAGTTATAACTCTTGAACGATTACATATTTTTAGACGAAATTTGAAATTTGTCGATGAAATTCGGTATAGCTTCCTATGAAATTCTAAAAATTAAGATGCTACTAACAGCAAAAAATCCTAGGAGGGGGGATCAGGAAAATGCAAATTTTTTTTGATAAAATTTCATCATTTGGACCCAGCATCACCCTCCATGAGTTTCATCTGGGTCCCACACTCGGAAGTCGAGATTCAGCATACTGAAATATCCTGGATACGTCACTGTATACTTGTATATCTGTGTGTGAACAACAAAACAATTCGTTTTATTTTTGTTTTATCATTGAAATCACTCTTATTTTAGATGACTAACTATGTACGTAATCATTCGTTATCTAATGATGAAATACAACGTTATTCACGTCAATTAATACTTTCTGAATTTGGTGTTCATGCTCAAGAACGTTTAAAAAATTCTTCAGCATTAATTATTGGTTGTGGAGGTTTAGGTTCTCCAGCTGCACTTTATTTAGCATCATCTGGTATCAATCGTCTTGGTTTAGTTGATCATGATCATGTTGATATATCAAATCTTCATCGACAAATAATTCATCGTGAAACAACAATAGGTAAGACAAAAGTTGATTCAGCACAATTAACATGTTCACAAATCAATTCATCATTAATAATTGATACATATAATCAATTATTAACACATGAAAATATTATGAATATTGTTAAACAATATGATGTTATACTAGATTGTACAGATAATGTTATAACACGTTATTTAATAAATGATGCATGTGTTCTTTGTCAAAAACCACTTGTATCAGCAAGTGTTATTCGTTTTGAAGGACAATTAACTGTATGGAATTATATTGAAAAAAATGGACCATGTTATCGTTGTTTATATCCTCAAGCACCACCAGCAGAAACAGTTTCAACATGTTCTGATGTTGGTGTACTTGGTCCAGTTTGTGGAACATTAGGAAGTTTACAAGCACTTGAAGCTATTAAAATTTTAACAAAAATTGGTGATGTACTTGCAAATCGAATGCTTCTTGTTGATGGTTTATCAATGAATTTTCGAACAATTAAATTACGTAATCGACAATCAACATGTGCTGTATGTGGAACAAATCCAAGTATTATTCATCAACCAGCTCCTCCTCCATATGATCAATGTAATAATGATCAACCTTGTCGAAAAAGTTTATTAAATAAAAATGAACGTATAAAAGCGAATGATTTAGCAAAATCAAATGTATCATCATTTATTATTGATGTTAGACCAGAACATGAACTTAATATAGCTCAATTTGAAAATTCATTCCATTTACCTATGGATCGTTTATTATATAATAATAATGATGAACAATTATCTAATGAACTACGGTCAAATATAGAAAAAAATCAACAAATTGTTATTGTTTGTCGTCGTGGAAATGATTCACAATTAGCTGTCCGACGATTAAAAGAATTATTATCTGATATTGATAATATAGATGAAAAAATAAAAGATCTAGAAGGTGGTTTTCAAGCATGGCATACAGATGTTGATTCAACATTTCCGTTATATTAAGAAGAAAATAATAAATCTATTTTTTTGTATGTGTTATTTTGTTTTTCACATTCTTTTATTTTATGTTATCAAAGAATAAAAGAATTTGTATAATTTTCATTCGAACTAATCAAGTCTTTAATGATGATAATATCAATGAATAACGAAAGGAAGTCAAGAATAAGGTTGAAAAGAATTGTTACTAACGAGGGAACTACCCCAAGTGATTCACCGCTTTTGAGCTCATACTTTGGGGATAAGTAGGAGACCCCGACACTAGAATAACCCTAAGAGGATTTGGGCCCATGCACCTGTGGGGCTGAGTTATAACCGTTTTACTCGATTTTTGCCCTAGGGCACTGGTTCACCTGCAAAACCAAATCAACGAATTTCGATCTGAAATTTTGTCCACGAAGAGGCCTAATGGCCACTAGAATACCCTGAAAGTTTCAGACAAAACGAATGCATCCTTCTTAAGATATTGACGCCACAATAAATTCCGGGTCTGCTAATTCTTTTCGAGAAATAGTCGGTTTTTGAAAATTCAATCTCTTAAGAAGGATGCATCCGTTTTGTCTGAAACCTTCAGGGTATTCTAGTGGCCATTAGGCCTCTTCGTGGACAAAATTTCAGATCGAAATTCGTTGATTTGGTTTTGCAGGTGAACCAGTGCCCTAGGGCAAAAATCGAGTAAAACGGTTATAACTCAGCCCCACAGGTGCATGGGCCTAAATGCTCTTAGGGTTATTCTAGTGTCGGGGTCTCCTACTTATCCCCAAAGTATGAGCTCAAAAGCAGTGAATCACTTGGGGTAGTTCCCTCGTAAGTGGAATGCAATCAATGTCACATTCTAGATGAACAAATCCCGTAAATAGATTCCGATGAATATCAACATCTTGTAAATAGATATCTCATAACCAAAATTATTTAAATCAATAGTTTAGTATTCTTATTTGGTTAAGTCTTTTTGTTTTGTAAGTCTAGAAAAATACTATAACTGTTCTCTAAGATGTTTCTAACTTACTTATGTCAAAGAAAATAAGCTATTAGTATCAGTTCATTTTTTAATCATATAAGAAATATAAAAAAAAAGAAATTTATTCAGCATAAATTTGAGAAAAATGAAGATTCTGTGTTGATTACAGAGATAGACACAGAATAAGATAAAAATTTCATTTTTGTTTTCTATAGTTGCGTATGATAGAATTATGTAGGTTGTTTCATAAACCTTGAGGTGCAACAAAATTAATTTATATATAGACAGAGAATAACACCTTACCAAATGTTTTTATATGACCTTTGAGTACTCGTGTTAGTCTGTTAAATGACATAGTATTAGGTAATAACTTGTAATAATAAAAATATAAACATGAGAATGTGAGAATAAATTTTTCGCAAATAAACAACAAAATATTTTATTAAAAAAAAAAAAAAAGGACACACTCTATTTTATAAATACATATATCAATCCGATTACACAAAAATCTCATTTAACTATCATTATGTTTGTTGTCTATTTGTAATCATAATAAATTATTTTTTCTATTCTTTGTTTAATTCAATTTTTATTTGTTTAAAGCCTGAAAATTGTTCTTCTCGTACTTTTTTTCTTTAATATTTTCCTATACACCCATATCAAGTCATTCATCAGTAAATTTAGCGTTATCTTCTTGAAGTAAAATTCGATTATAAAATCATTCCTCAATAGTTCAAAATATAATTTTAATTCTTTGTATTTCATTCTGTGCGTGACATTTTCATATATTTAATTTATTTCAATTTAATTACTGAGTACATACATAGCTTCATTGAACATATAATCTGTGAATCATAATGAATACTGAATAAGCGAATAAAATAAATAATTATTAGTTTCTACTATATTATGTTTTTATGTAGAATTATTCAACACTTTATTACAAAGACCTAACAAAATTACATTGATGAATTGCGAGAAATTTATGCTTGATTCATATGTTTCTAATTTTATTATTACAAGATAATATATTATTCAATAATATATTATTTGAAAGACTAACACATAAGTAATCAGTATTCATATGAAAACATTCAGTAAGGTATTATTTTCTGTTCACGTATAAGCTAATTTTGTCACGTCTTAAAATTTATGCAACACTTTATATGTAGGATATAAATAGGATACTTTTTTTTTCTGAGCAAGCAAACTACATATTATATTGTGAGCCATTTTACAGTCTTTTTTTTATATAGTGTTTTATCATATAATACGACTATATTTTTGAAGAATGATTAACTCAATAATAATACAATAAGGATTAGAACCACATTAGGTTAGTATAGTGTTTTTAACAAAAAGACTAATATAAAAGACTATAGAAACAAAGGATATCATTAGTAAATGGTATTTCCAAAAATTTTCCATGCTAAAATATGTAATTTTACATCAGTCTATCATGGGTTGAACTTTATCGATGAGTTTTTTTTTGTATATGATAAGTATCATATACAAATTGTTATTCGTGCGAACAAACCGCAAAACTACTAGATGAACGTTTCACTTCTGATTGAAATAGAAAAATTGAGAATATTTCCAAATTCTGAAATCATCATGTTAAGACTTTCTTTGTGATGAAATTCGAGCTTCTTTCGCGTTTTTTCTGACCTTGAAAGTTTATCGATTTTGTAAAATCGGTTTATGAGCATTTATTTAAATATACGACTATACAAAAACACATGTTTATATTATATCTAGTATTTATGAGATCCATGAATTCTGTTTAACATTATCAAATAATGATCTGTCAATTTGAAAAAGTATGTTGATCACATGAAGTACATGATTATCCTAGTTGACATTCATAGCCTCTTGTTATTGTGATGTATGAAAAGAAACATACTTGAAATGATATTACAAGATACGAATGATTTAAAGGTCATAAAATGAACGAAACTGAAGTTATTCGAAATGAAATCTTGTGTAATAATTCTTAGACATTGAAAACTAGCAAAATTTTTGTGTTCCGCTCAAAAATTATACGTCTAAACAGCATATTAATGTTTGTTTATATAAATAAAAACTTGAAAGTAATACTTATCATAGAGGAAAAAAATAACTGATACATTTCAATCAATATTATGTTGCTATTAAATCATTTTACGAAAGACACTTTTCGAACATTTTATCTTACTTTTCTAACTTATATAATCAATAATAAAAGATCCTTTTAATGATCAGATCAGATATTGTAACAAATTATTTAGTTCACAATGATTTTGTTTCATTTCAAAAAACAATTACATCTTCATATTCATGCGTATTATAATAATCAATGAAAAAAAAAGAAAGAACAGAACAATGCGTGAACATTTTGATAGTACATGCAGAATCATGGCGAATGTATGAACACTATTCTTATCCTGTTTTGTTGGCCAGTAGAACGGTTTAATATATAACATCGTCTAGTTTGATGCTCAGCTCTGAAGCAAGTTCCAAACTATCTTCACTAACATATCCCGAGAGTCTCATGACTACACCCCCTGTTGATAACGACTGATTAATAAAGAAATTGTTTTCGTATAAGTGAATGAAGATAAAAGGTAAACCTGCTACTATTTGTACCTCAAAAGTGCACCTGCATAAAATACTGTTTGTCCTTCATAGGAAATAAAAATGATTGTACCTGAAAGCATTTTAATATGAATCATACATGACATATTGAATTTGTTCTACATGAATGATTGGTATAAAAAAGAAAAAACTATTAAAATAGATGGACAAATCGATTAAGAATGTTTAAGTGAGTAGATTACCTAGTAATCTATTTACTCAAATATCGCTGCGTATAACGATGTGTATGTGTATATGATAGTGTTCGAAGAAAAATGACTCAATGTTATACAGTACATTGATAAATTAAAAATAGATCACCAATATTCTAATCAATCGTATTGATAATTATGAACTTGTATTAGTAAATTAATTAGAATTTTTCTTTCAAAAAAAAAAATAAAAATAATAAGTTGTATGAGTATAGAAAAAAAACTATTATTATAATCATAGATGATTCGAGATTTTGCAAAGAATTAAAAATAAAACATTTTTCATTTAAAAACTACGCAGAAATAAAATAATTTTTGATTCTTAACAAATAAATTCTTTTATTTTTTTTACTTTCATCAAATAATATGAGAAAAAATTATTGAAATAAATATTAAAAACTAAATAGAGATTAAGTCAGTCGATTTCAAAATAGATGTTTCTCTATGAAAAAGAATACATTCAATTTTTTATGTTGATTATTTTTCTTGTACTAGTAGATATTTAAGTGTACATTATTATTTCTATATTCTTTATCTGTCAACAGATGTCAGTCAACATCACTATAGAGAAAAGCATATGATCAAAAACTTGATGACGTTATGATTCGTCGTATATTCTCTACGCTTTATAGATGTTCATGAGAACAAGATTGTTCTGACATTTGATTTGTACTTTAGTTTTTCTACTTAGCCTTTTATCTATTTAATTTAGAACAAATTAATTTTAAAATAATCATTTTCATGACAGCAACAAATAATGTTAATGATTTATTAACACATATTTTTACAAATCTTCCAAAACAACAGGATAATGACGAAAACTTGAATGAACGGTAAAATTTAATCAATAAAATAAATATTAATTTTAAGAAAATTTTTTTTATCTTAAATAGACGTTTATTTCCTCAACAATTAAATGATTTTGGTGAATATCTTGATAACAAACTAAACGATATTGCTACACCTTTTCCAAAATCTTCATTCGGTAAATAAATTTATTTTGTCTATTAAACAAAACAAAATTCATCAATAATATCTTTTAGAATATGAAGAAAATCGTATTGGACCTTCTACAACAAATTTAAATTTATATTCAGCAACTGGAATAGTTCAATGTACACGTTTTGATGTATATTTTAATAATAATATTTAGATATAAAATTTAATTTAACAAAAAAAAAATTACGTTTTTAGTATACTGGCATTGGTAGTTTTAATAC